TGAATATTCTCTGGTTGTTGCACATATTGTTCTCTTGGTTTCCTGGAGTTCTTTGAACATATTTAGGACATATTGATTTAAAGTCGTTGTCTAGTAATTCCACTGTCTGTGTTTCCTTGATGATGGTTTCTATTAATTTTTTTCCTTTAGCTGGACCATTCCATATTTTTTCTTTGCATGCTTTGTTTTTTTGTTGTTGTTGAATATGGACATTATGAATATTATGATGTACAAAAAAGGAAAAAAAGAAAAGAAAAAGTATTTTATCTCCTGGTTTTGCGTTTTGGCTCTGTGTTGGGGCACTCCTTCAACTCGTTGCAAGGCCTTTCACAACTCTGCCTTGGCCTTGACTCCCTGACTGCCTTTAGCCTAAAGATAAGCCAGAAGTGAAAGCTTGTGGTCTTCTCAGGTCTTTTCTGAGTGTGCGTCCTGCCCTGGACATTCGTGTGGCTTTCTAGTTCCTTGGTATACATAGGCTCTTTTCAAAGTCCTTCGTTCTCTAAAGATTCTTACTCTGCACTCTTTCCTCTCTTGGCTTTCAGCATGTCTGTTGCTTGTCTTAACTTGTTGCCCCAGGCATCAGTGGCTTGTTCATTTGACTTGCAGTGTTTTTGAGAAACCTCTGCATAGTGATATCTTCACTTCAAGAAAGTTCTGAGTTAGGTGAAAAATAGTCAGACCCCTTTCATTAGTCCTCAGGGACCCCACAGACAGATCAAAACAAATGCACTTCGTTTGGGAACAAGATCCACTCTGCTGTGGTCAGGACGAGGTTCCCTCACTGAGAAAGAGGGATGCCATCTTCAAGACCACCATCGTGCCTGGGTAGGGGATGTGGCTCGCATAAGTTAAAGCACTGCAGAGCTTCCCTCTGCTGCTCAGTGGCCCTTCTCCTGGTTAAGGGTTTGCTTGGTTACTATAAACATTTGCTATCTTCCCCAGTTCCACTAAGTAGGATTCTGACAGGTGTGCAATGGTTATCGGTGTTTCTGAGGAGGAACAGCCCCCAGTAGTCCCTACTTTGCCATTTTTGCAGTTGTCCATGTCAATCCTTATTCAGAAACACATCCTGGCTCACTTTTATGGGCTAGTTTAAACGTCCTATTTTGTTGGCCCTTCTTGTACATTGCCCTGAGGCAATGTGTGCGTCCTGAGCGGCAATCTGAATTCTGGTTGGTATTCTACAGCATATATCAGTTCTAAGTATTTTTGCTTTGTTGTTTCTGGTCAGTTTTTGTGTGCATGAAGTCCACGTGATCTCAGGACTTCATGCGCAGATGTGAAGGATCCTTTTCTCCAGGTTCCTTCTCTCTGATTCTCCCCAAACTGTGCTTGGGATCTCTTAATGTAAGGTATAGAAAGGTGACAGAGCATCTTACTGTGTTTGCAGCAGCCATTCTAGTGGAGGGGGGGAATGGCACCCCTTCTTCCCTCAAATTTGCTTGGTGTCAGGCAGGGCTCATTGATGAAGCTTCCTCCCACAGTCTCCCCAGCAGCATCTGATCAGGAAGTGAGGGCACTGCTTATGTTGATGTTTGCTTATTGCCAGCAGTGCCAGTTGCCTGGTGGGAGGAAGAGGGCCACAGCTCCTCTTTGGCATTAGGGTTCTGTTCTGCATGGCTTCCCTCTTCTCATCTTTTTTTTTCTTACTACATCAAAAATTTTATTGCCTAATTTTTGAAAACTTCTGCCAGTAAGAACCACAAAAGAAACTTATTATGTTAAATTGCATGATTTTGAACATTTTTTTTTATTGAGATGTAATTGACCTATATAACATACTGGTTTCAGGCATACAACATAATGATTTGATATATGTATATATTGTGAAATGATCATCACAATAAGTCTAGTTAACATCCATCGCACATAGTTACAAATTTTTGTCTTCTGATGAAAGCTTTTAACATCCACTCTCTTAGCAACTTTTAAATATACAATACAGTATTACTAACTATAGTCACCATGCTGTACATTACATCCTTATGACTTATTTATTTTATAAGTGGAAGTGGTACCTTTTGACTCCCTTTACCCCATTTGCCCACCCCCATCCCCTGCCTCTGGTAACCACCAATCTGTTCTCTATGTCTGTGAGTTTGGGTTTGTTTTGTTTTGATTTCGGATTCCACATATAAATGAGATCATATGATATTTGGCTTTCTCTGTCTAACTTATTTCACTGAGCATTATGCCCTTAAGATCCATCCATGTTGTTGCAAGTGGCAGGATTTCCTTCTTTTTTATGGTTGAGTAACATTCCATTGTGTATATATACCAAATTTTCTTTGTCCATTCATCCATCAATGGACACTTTGGTTGTTTCCATATCTTGGCTACTGCAAATAATGCTGCAGTGAACATGGCGGTGCAGATATCTTTTCAAGTTAATGTTTTTGTTTTCTTTGGATAAATGCCCAGAAGTAGGATTGCTGGATCATATGGTAGTTCTATCTTGAATTTTTTGAGGAACCTCCACACTGTTTTCCATAGTGGCTGCACCAATTTACATTCCTACCAACAGCACACAAGGATTCTCTTTTCTCCACATCCTCACCAACACTTGTTATTTCTAGTCTTTCTGATAATAGCCATTCTGACAGGTGTGAGCTGATATCTCATTGTGGTTTTGATTTGCATTTTTCTGATGATTAGTGATGTTGAGCATCTTTTCATGTAACTGTTGGCCATCTGTATGTCTTCTTTAGAAAAGTGTCTACTCAGATCTTCTGCCCATTTTTTAATTGGATTGTTCTTTTGCTTCTGAGTTGTGTGAGTTCTGTGTGTATTTTGGGTTTTAGCCCCATCAGACATGGTCTGCCTTCCCATAGGTGCCTTTTCACTTGGTTTCCTTTACTGAGCAGAAGCTTTTCAGTTTGATTCCTTGTTTACTTTTGCTTTTGTTGCCTTTGCTTTTGGTGACAAATCCAAAAAATCATCACCAAGACTGATGTCCTCCTTCCCGTCTTACATGACATCTGCTGGCTCGAGGAAGCAGTCTTTCCCTGGGCCTTTTTTTTGTTTTACTCCACCCTTTGGCAGTTCTCTGCTGCAGTCTGCTCTAGCATCCAGATTGGGATATACAGAAGGCAAAAATGAAGCCCAAGGAACTCATTGCCTGGCTCTCCCTTAATTTCTGAGGTCTCTGCCCATTTTTCCTTCTTTTGTTCACATTTCAGAGTCTTCCAGTATTCACTTTATATGTTATGACCATGGTTCTAAATAGTAATTAATGAGAGCGTTCGGGTGGAATGTGCTTAACTCCCTTGTGACTGGAATGGGAACTCAACTCCCACGATCATTTATTGAGTGAATGATTAAATGAATACATGTGTCTTGCCTACAAGTTGCTCGTGTTTGTGGGTTTCAATATAATAATAGGTATGGTATTAAGAAAATTAAGATAAATTTCTATGGAAGCTCATAGGCATAGGAATGAAATTATTTCTAGCTATTTTGGAATAGGACATATGGTGTGGTGGTGAGGTCATTGTTCTGATAGTAGTTCTCTGTCAACAACTGGGTGTCCTGTAATTTGGTTCAAGTCATGGCACTAACTACCTAGATTTAGCACAGACCCACAGGTTAAGGGCAAAGTCCTCCACAAGACTGCCCTGCTTTGGATGCTGGCCACAAGTCTCAGGGGCCACCTGCACTTGAACCTTCTGACTATAAATTTTGGGGTTCCCATAACCCCCTCAGATTCGATAGTTTGCTTAAAGGACTCAGAGAACTCATTGAAAGTGCTATACTAAAAATTATAGTTTTATTATAAAAGCTGCAACCTCAGAAACAGCCAGTGGAAACAATACATTGGCCAAAGTCTTAGGCAGGCTGGTGGTGGGGAGGGGAAATGTAGAGCTTCTGTGCCTCTCCTTGTGGATCAGGCACATCAGCCTCCCAGCACATCAGCGCATTCCCCAACCAGGAAGCACCACTGAACTTTGTTGTCCAGAGTTTTTATTGGGGTTTCATTACATAGGCATCATTGATTAAGTGATTGGCCATATGGTTAAACTCAGTCTCCAAACCTCCTGTCCTCCCTGGAGGTCTGGCTGGCCCAGAGTTCCAACCATCATGTGATTGGTCTTTCTGGTGACCAGTCCCCATCCTGAGGCTATCTAGAGGCCACCAAAGTCATCTCATCAGTGTAGCAGACATTCTTGTCACTCAGGAATTCCAAGGGTTTTTGAAGCTCTATGCTAGGAATTGGGGACAAAGACCAGATATATTCTTTATTACCACAGTCAACACATAAGATTTCGAGAAGAATATGGCAATTGAGTGGTACCTTGAAAGATGGGTAGGATTTAAACATTTGAAGATGGGGAATGGGGCCGGCCCGGTAGCACAAGCGGTTAAGTGCGCGTGCTCCACTGCAGCGGCCCGGGGTTGGCCGTTTTGGATCCTGGGCGCGCACCGACGCACCGCTTGGCAAGCCATGCTGTGGTGGCGTCCTGTATAAAGTGGAGGAAGATGGGCACGGATGTGAGCCCAGGGCCAGTCTTCCTCAGCAAAAAAAGAGGAGGATTGGCAGTTGTTAGCACAGGGCTGATCTCACAAAAAAAAAAAAAAAAAAAGAAGATGGGGAAGAAGGCATTCCAGGCTGAGAAAGTAGCACTAGCAATCACAGGGGCACACACGCAAAAGTGCCGAGTTCAGTATACAGTCACGTGTCGGATAAAGATGTTTCAGTCAACATCAGACTGTGTGTACGATGGTAGTCCCACAAGACTAGTACCATATAGCTTAGATGTGTAATAGGCTATACCATCTAGGTTTGTCTAAGTACACTCTATGATGGTTGCGCAATGACAAAATTGCCTAATGACACATTTCTCAGAACATACCCCCATCATTAAGCAACATACAACTGTATGGAAATATATCAAGTACTTTTTTTAGCTTTAGTGTAGGATATATAAAAAGCAGTAATAAGAAAGTCAGGTTGGGGCTCTCATTTAATTATATTTATTAATTATAGAATCTTATTCCTACAGAGCAGAAGAAAAAAGAGATCTGTTCATGTTTTTCCGGAGCCTACACTTTTTTGTGGAGTGGTGTGAATATCGTAAGCGTACGTTTCAACATTTCAAGGTAGAGTCTAAAGTTTTAAAATTTAAATATATATGAAAAGTGAAGCTGATATTAATTTGGGGATTTAACATAACATTCTTTCCTTAAAGTTTTCAAACAATAGAAAATATTTTCATTGGCTTCTGGAATTTGCAGTTATTTGGAATAATGAAAGAGGAATGCTTCTATACGAATCAGTGAATCATTCATATTATGGAATATCTTGAAAGAGGTATAGTTACATACTTATTCTAAAATACACATTTTGAAAAAATTAATCTGTGCAGGGTACTTGAAGTAAAATGAGAAATGCTAATAAAGAATATAATCATAGCAGGATTATCGCATAGCAGTATAATCTTTACTTCCTGAGCCAAACTCTATATTTTGAGCTTTTTAATTATTGTATGTTTCAAGTTTAAATACTGAAGCCTGATTCTTGTAAAGTAATGCTTCTCAAGTCTGGTACAGGTACATGCAAAGACTTCTTTTTGTTCCCTTTGTTTGTTTTCTGGTGTAACTAGAATTATGTTTGGCTGAATTGTAATCCCCCAGGTCCTACTTAGTTGGATAGCATCAAATTATTGACAGCAGCGATCCACACAAAAACCAGTTCTGAAAAGAGTCAACATAAATAATGTCTGAAGGTTCAGGTTCCCTCAAAAGCCTAACCTGGTCATGACTATTGTTTTTATGACTGATACTAACTCACCTTTATTTTGGATTCTTTATCATCATCATCATCAGTATTTGCATTCTGTTTGGTTGAGCTGATAAAATCTGTCAGGCGTAGAATTTTCTTTAGAATGGAACATGCGGGTCCTGTACCTGTACCTGTTCTGTGGCCTCTTGAGGAGTTCTCGTGATTATGTTGTTTACTTGCAGTTGCTCTTGCGCCAGAATAATTAGATAGCTCTGCTTCACAATTGGTAAAATACACTGCTGACTGAGCAGTATGCTAGCAGTTATGGTAACGAATAACCTAGTATGGCCATTGACTGATACATTTGAATGAGTTGTGGGAAATGTGAGTGCCAGTCCCCATTTCCAAAGCTGATTTGCCTCTTGGTGCTTTCAAGGCAGGTGTGGAAGTCTAATTGGTGTATTTTTCCTATAGAGGATAGAGTGCTTCTCTGAGCTGGTCTTCACTGTGATAAGTTTACTAGAATGGAAAGAAACAGTCACATTTTGCATGTTGCAACCATCACCAATATCTGTCTCCAGAACTTTTTCATCATCTCAAACTGAACCTCTGTACCCATTAAGCACTAACTTGCCATTCCCTCCTCCTCCCAGCTCCTGGGAACCACCATTCTGTTTTTTGTTCCTGTGAATTTGACTATTCTAAGTACCTCATTTAAGTGGAATCATACAATATTTATCTGTTTTGCCTGGCTTATTTCACTTAGCATAATATCCTCAAGGTTCGTCCATGTTGTAGCATGTGTCAGAATTTCCTTCCTTTTTAAGGCTGAATACCATTCAATTTTGTGTATATACCACATTTTGTTTATCCATTCATTTATTGATGGACACTTGGGTTTTTTCCACCTTTCGGCTGTTGCGAATAATGCTTCTATGAACATTGGTGTACAAATATCTGAGTCCCTGCTTTCAGTTCTTTTAAGTATATACCTATAAGTGGAATTGCTGGATCATATAGTAATTCTATGTTTAATTTTTTGAAGAACCGCATATTTTTTTCCACAGGGGTTATACCATATTACATTCCCAGCAGCAATGCACAGCTTCCAATTTCTCCATATCCTTGTCAACATTTGTTATTTTCAGGGGGTTTTTTGTTTTTATTTATTTATTTCTTGGTAATAGCCAACCTAATGGGTGTGAGGTGGTATCTCATTGTGGTTTTGATTTATATTTCCATAATGATTAGTGATGTTGAGCATCTTTAATGTGCTTAATGGCCATTTATATATCTTCTTTGGAGAAATGTCTATTCAAGTCCTTTTCCTGTGTCTGAATTGGGTTATTTGTTTTTTTGTTGTTGTTGAATTGTAGGAGTTCTTTACATATTCTAGATAATAATCTCTTATCAAATATATGATCAGCAAATATTTTCTCCCCTTCTCTGGATTGTCTTCATTCTCTTGATAGTGTTCTTTGATGCATAAGAGTTTTTAATTTTGAAGTCCAATTTATCTGGTTTTTCTTTTGTTGCCTGTGCTTTTGATGTCATATCCAGGAAACTGTCGCCAAATTCAATGTCATAAAGATTTTTCTCTTTTTCTTTCTAAGAGTTTTTAAATTTAGCTCTTAAGTTTAGGTGTTTGACCAGTTTGAGTTAATTTTTGTATACATTGTAAGCTAAAGGTCCAGCTTCATTCTTTTGCATGTGGATATCTGGTTTTCCCAGCACCATTTGTTGAAGAGACTGTCCTTTCCTTATTGAGTGGTCTTGGCACTTTTGTTGAAAATAATTTGACCATATACATAAAGGTTTATTTCTGGGCTCACTATTCTGTCCCATGGGTCTGTATGTCGGTCCTATGCAAGTACCATACTTTAGGTTAATGTCGCTTTGTAGTAAGTTTTGAAATGAGGAACTGTGAGTCCTTCAGTTTTGTTCTTCTTTACAAATTTGTTTGGGCTATTTGGAGTCTCTTGAGATTCCATATGAATTTTAGGATGAGTTTTTCTATTTCTTAATAAATTGTCGTTGGGACTTCGATAGAGATTGCATCAAAACTGTAGATTGCTTTGGATAGTATTGACATATTAACTATTCAGTCTTCCAATCCATGAACACAGAATGTCTTTCCATTTATGCGTGTCTTCTTTAGTTTCTTTCAGGAATGTTTGTAAGGGTAAATTATTTTTAATTTTAAGCCTCTATTTCTTTAATTTGCCATATCAAGAATGAAACAATACCTATTTAAGATAATGGAATCAGCGTATTTTTACTTTCTCTCGTTATTTTATTTGTGACTAAGGAGAAAAAAGATTGTCAGGTACCTATGTTCATATCTTCTTATCTAGAAGTCTCTAAATTATTTCTTTAAGATAATTCTATAATTCAGATTTTTTACCAGTGCCCTTCCTCTCCTAATTATTATTTTGTCTAAGCCACTGGCTTTTAAATTCTCTAAAATTTGAGAGTTATTTTACAGTGTTTTTTCTCTTTAAGTTTAATTATATAAAGAACATAGGAATACATTACTGTGTTTTTCTGACGTCTGGAATGTGAGAGAAGTCTCCTGACTGCTTTCCCAGTGTCAGTCCTACCTCTCGGCTCTCCTTTATCAAGTTTGTTTTTCCAGATAAAGTTACAGTTTATTTCCATTGATTTATTCAAGACTGTTATAGTTTAAAGATTCTATTTTTTAAAATAAAACAGAGCCCTTCTGTTTAAATGAACTTTATTTTGCACTTTATTGTATATTTAAATCAAATGTGCTCACTGTTATGCTAGGCACTTTGAAAGTACAAAGGGAGAATGTTCGGTGTGCTCGGTGAGCTTTCAGTCACAGAGAAGTGAGGCATGCACACAGAATAATGAGAAGGCAGTATAACAATATGATTATCAGTTACCAGAATAAAACATGTCAGTGCGTTAAGTGTTATAGTAGTAATTATGGTGGGCTTAAGAGAGCACAGATATTTTAATGAAAAGTTTCATCTTCGGGTCAACCATGACAAATTGGGGAAAATTTGAAAAATGGGAGGTTATTCTAGGTAGAATGACCTACTTGTTTCTGGAAAAAACAGAAGCAAATGCTTAAAAATATGAAAAAGTATTTGTTCTGGGAATAGTATAGAGAGACCAACTTGATTCTCATGTATAATTTATATTGGAAACAATGTCGGTAATTTTTCTATGCGCAGTTCAAACTCATGTCTCTAAAGCACTGATAATTTTGTATGTAACCTCAAAGCAATGTGGAGACTAAGACTTTTGAGTGGGGTTTGAGCAAGAGGAAAGTTATTTTAGGAACTTTAATCTGGCAGCATTGTGCCCTCATAAATCATCACTATTAGATGGAAAATGAATTCTCACCATTAAATGTATCAGTTAATCATGTGTCTTTAGAATATGTTACTCAGAAGCTTTCTTGTGAATATGTAGTCTGCATGAACATGGACATGTATGGGTGGGTGGGAAGGTGGTGTGCAACAACACCACAGAATTCAGTTTGTTTTCATGTCTTCCATTCAGACAGATTTATTGATGAGACTCTCATTCCTATAGTGTAAAAAAGAAAATATTTTGCAGCATCATATTTGAAAGCCTTTACAATGGAGAACTTTATGGCTATTTTCTGAAAAATAGGATGGACTTGCAGTTTTTCTTATAAGCATACTGATTTTGGTCTGCTTGACATAAAGTGTTTTATGGTAGGCTTTGAATGTTAATATTTAGATAAAAGAAATTTTTATACGGTTTTACTAAAGCCTTTAACTGTGTGACTACAAAGCAGAATAACTTTGAGCATTACTCTATTAGCTCTGTATCAGAGAGTAAAATTATACTTGATTTGGAAAGCTTTGCCTAGATAGGAGACTATACCCTATTTCTCAGGCTAAGTAAAAATATAATAGCTGCCTTAATAGAAAGAAAACAAAGTTCCTACTTCAAAATGAATAATATATGAATCATTAAAGAAAAATGGGAGATCATTGGAAATATTTAGCTTTTCAGAGTTTTTGGAGCCTCTGCCTTAAATGCTTTAGGGATCCAGTAAAGGCCAGGAAAGATAAACCATTGCAAGTTTCTTAGACTTATCCTCTCACTTCATTAGTAATGGAAATAATGTTTCTTAAATTTGAGTATTTATATAAAAACATACCTTTTAAATAGCATGCTGGTATAAACTACAAGGATTTTGTAATGGTATTTAAATATTTTCACATTACTTTGTTTTGAACTTAGAGACTCACTCTTACTTTTTACTTGTTATATTTAAGATTTTTGACCATCCTTGCTTAAAACATAAAATTCCTTCATAGTGAGATACAAAGTTAATATTAAACAAACATTTATGCTCCTTTAGACATTGTAGAGACAGATTACAAGTATGTATATGTTAGCTTATCTGCTGCATTGATGTGGTTAAAAGTATGACCCTACAGGCAATCTTTTTAAGCAGATAAAACTGTTGGGATGCTTTCCCAGGATGATGGGGTTGCCCTCCAAGCGTATCTCTTCAATGCGGTCCCGAATATAACGGGTATCATTGGCCTTGCAGAATGTGTCGTCTGTGATTGAGGTTATGTTGTTAAACTGGAAAATAAAAGGGAAAACTTTTTCAGAAATCCAAAATCAACTTTTTGTGTGCTGTGTAATGGGATCTCACAGAATATTCTTTTCTAAAAAGTGATTTTTAAAATAATTGTATATACTGTGTATGCTCATGGTAATAAAACCCTCTCTGTGCATCTGAACCCCTTGTCTACGGTGCTACTTTAGAAGAACAGACTTCTTGCTGTTACTCAGAGAAATATCATGTAACAGAAAGTTCTGAGTATAAGTAAGATTATACTACCTGGAAATAGTATCCTATTCTTGAGTGTGAACTCAAACTGGGTACTGTATCCTCAAATATTCTTTAAAGAAGTAAAAAGAACAAATGGGAATTCTTGTGATGCTGAAAGACCAGTTTTAATTTATTTTTATTCCCTCTTTTCTGTTACCTCAAGTTGATGTTGGACAATAAAGTCAACTGGAAAGTCTCCAAAAGCAAATGTTTACGGCTGTTTGGAGAAAGAAACATAAACCAGAGGTCTTAGTGTCCCCTACTTTCAAATCCATGTGTCAGATTAACTAGGTGATGCTAAGTGCACAGCTGGAAACAAACCCCACTCTAAGAGCAGACCTCACACCTAGTGTTGCTGGTCCTTTCGTGGTGCTCTGGACAGAACCTCGTGGTGCTCTGGACAGAACCGGGGCTTCCAGGCAGGAGAGCATTGAGCTAAATGTTAATACTTTTGATAGGCAAAATTTACATCTGAATAAGTGAGTTTCCTAATGCTTCTTAAGATGGACCCATAGTAATTTAAATTCAAGTCAGATATTGTGAAAGGAGCAATCATACCTGAAGATGAATTACACGCAGACTTTCTGGTAAATTAAGAGGCACAGATTCCAGGGCATTGTGATCCAAGTACAGGAAGGAGAGTTTATTCAGTTTCTGTAAGGAAAAGGTACTTTTGCTTGAGTGTCATTGAGATCAGTACATTTGGTCACAGGATTCACGCTATATACACACATATATGTACATAGGTATATGTATACATAGATATTGATATAGATACATATCAATACTATTAATTGTTGGTACGGTAGTTTTTTGGTTTTGGGGGGTGTTTTGGTTTCACAGGTAGTATATTTTGGTCCTGTACAAAGGGCAGTAGAGCCCTGCTGCATCCCTACATTTCTTTCCACTCATCTGACCTCTGAATGCCCAGCCAGGCCTGGCCTCAGCACTCATGCCAGCTTCTGGGTCCCTTTGAATTTGTCTTCGGAGCAGCTAATGAGGTCAGTCCCTGTGGAGGATTGAATTTGGGTCCTGGTGCTGCCGTAACCTCTCTTGAAGCTCCAGAATTTCCCATTTCAGCTCCACCAATTTGTAACGAAATGAATACTCCAAAGATATGTGTGTGTTTGTTAGTAAGGTGTTTCCCAAAGCAATTTATTAAATATTTAGGTAAGTATGACTTTTTTCCCCCTAAGGGCTCTATGTTACATTATTTATCATGATCAGTAACCCAATATTGTGTATAATTTTATAATATGACTTCAAGATGTAGTTTCTCCTGACATTAATTTTTTACCTTACCTTTGATATGCATCCTGTGGCAGAATTTGCTGATTTTGTTTCTTAAGAATTAATTTGCAGTTATTTTAATCCTTTCTTAAGGATCCTACCATCCACTATATGGGCACCAAGCTCCTGTCTTCCCCAGGGGGCCTCTTTACATGGGTTAGAGTAACCTGATTTTACCATTTGCTGTTGCAACCTAGGGCATTAAACAAAACTACAGAGGATTCCCTTGCCAACTTGTCATGAATCCCCTCTGTAATGCATGTGTAAATCCAAAATAGTCAAACATTCCTCTTGTGAAATGTTGATCAGTTCCTGTAGGTCTTTAACATGCCAGTTATTCAAAGGCTTACCAGCTCGAATTACATATCTTCAAATTACAAGGGTTTTTTGTTTGTTTTTAAAGTGAGTCCAGTTTTTAAAAGTCCCCTAAAAGTCCCTTTACTTCTGAGGAACTCTGATGTGTCTTTAGAATGTCCCTTAAAGTTGAAAAAGGATTCCTTAAATGTAAACAAAAAGAAAAGAAAAATGGAATTATTTTTACATTTTCTGACAGATTGTATGTTTGTGGACAGATTGTACATTTGTATGATTATCATAAACTTTATGGAAATTTGATAGTTTTAGGTGCTTCTAATAGGAGTTATCATTAGAAGCTACAATCCTTCCTTTTGAATGAGGTTGTCTGTTGCCAGCAGTAGCATGATTGTCTCATCCTCTTATCTGGAGTTCCTTCCAGGACTGGGAGTGAGGATATCAGAGCTATGAAGTGATGGGCTGAGGTGATTACTTCTCCACAGACCATGCATTTTGAGACAGCCTGGCTACCTAAATCAGGGTAGATCACCTTCCCTTTTTCTTGTACATATATTGTCTTGAATTACTAAATTAAGAAATGTATTTAATTTTTTACTATATACAGAATTTTGTATTAGGTGCCATCATGGAATTCAAAAGAGAGTCTACCTACAGAATTTTATAGTATAATACATTTAAGTATTAAAAGCAAAATTCAGTGTTTACTTTTAGAACTTTATTTTTTCTGACATTTGTAAATTACTAATATTGTAAGGAAAAAGAAACGTAGGAAGACTCCCATTTTGAGGTTTTGTACAGTCTTGTTGCCATGAGGGTGTGAACCATGTCTGTATAAATAAATATTTGCACGTGGTGCAAGTGAAAAAGATGGGACGCGGTGTAGTCCATGAAACAAGATAAAGGTTATATATTTTAAGTGAGGTACAGGCATAAGCTAGACTGAATGAGCCTAATGGTATGGCTATTTATTATGTAAATAATGTCTTCATTTATTAAATTACAATAGTTTTAAAATATAAAACAAAATTCTAGACCAAAGTTTCTCTTTCTTTTATCATGTTATCATTGGCTGTGTAAAACTGATATTGTGTTCAGTCATACTATAAAATACTTACTTTGAATGTATTTGCTTTGATTCCTCTACTCTTGATTTTGTTGTATTTTGCGTTAAATAAAGTAAGCTTGGGAGGAAGAACTGGAAGTTTCAATAGTTGATTTTCAGCTAGTGTAAGTTCTTCTAACAGAGAAAGTTTTGAGAAAGTACCGTCTTCAATATCTTCAATCAAATTTCCCGTAAAATCGAGTCTTTTTAAGTTGGCTTGAAAGAAAAATATACAAAAAATACACAAAAAATATGAAGTTAAATTCTTATTTGTGTAGACTGAAGAAAAGTATTTGTTGAACAGATCATTGAGACATCTTTTATTTTTCGTGTCTAGTGGAGTGTCTACAATTGGTAGCTCAGTGAGTTTTGTTGAATGAATACTGAGCATCTCCTCTGTGCTTGACACTGATGGCCTTTCTCCCTGGAGTCCTGGAATCTCAGGTTGGAATGGAAGAGTCCTTCCATTCTTCTCTGTTTGAATTCTCAGGATGCTCAGGCTGTTTTAAAGATATTCTTGTTGCAAATCATGGAAAATAAGCATTATATTTGATTGAATAGAATCATGTAAGTATTTTTGGATTTTTCGCAGGCGTGTTGCATTGTGATTGTGGATATGTTATCTTAATCTCTCTATGCCTTAATGCTTAACAACAGCAGACAAAAATATTCCCTAATTTGTTAAAGTGATGCAGACTGAGAGAGAGAGAAATTCAGTGTGTGCATGTGTCACTTCTGTCTGTCTGGGATGATTAGGAAATATAGTTGCTTCTCATTATTCCAGATAGTCATGTCTATAAAGTTGCTGAATTAGCAAATACAAAACTATTGCTCCCAGGGGAAACACAGGGTTAGGTTCCTTTGAGCCTCCGGTCACATTTTCATCAACCAATCGGTACAAAATTTTATGTGTTTCTTTTTAAAGGTATCTTATTTAGTATAACTGTTGATACATTAATATTGAACTCACAGCCATCAGCACTATAGCTCACACTTGAATGAAGATTACCTAACACACGTGTGTTCTCTGTAGGGCACATCACAGCCTTCTTACACTTCGAAATACCAGACAGCACTTCAACACTATGCATGGGGAGCATTTTAAACAGCAAAAAGCACAAAAATGTGGAAAATGTGGCACTAAGTAGACTGTGAACAGGATACTTGTTTACAGTATAAAAGCTAAAACAAAAGGGCAGGGCATTGCCTTCTTCGACCTCAGCTGGGAAACTCAGATTTTTTTGGCACTCTGCAGGTCTGCGAATGACCGTCAAAGTGTCGCAAGTATTGATTTTTGGGTTTCAAATAAATTTTAGCAAGTAGGTGAGTTTGAAAGTATGGAATCCACAGATATTGAGAAACAGCTGTACTTCAATCAGTTGGGAACTTCCAGTAGTAGCATGAATCCAGTTATGGTTAATCTTGTGTAGTGGGGCCAGCGTGCATTTCTTGGTATGCCGTTCTTCAGAAGCACTTGACAACATAGGAATCTAGAAAACTTATGAGGGATTAATGATCCAGGACTGTGACTTGGCACTGCAGAGGTGGGGGATTTTGGTGTACTCATGGCAATGCCCTAGGAGCAAGTTGTTGAAAGGTTTGATAGGACGCCAAAAGTCCAAGATTGTTAATGCCCTGGGAAGGAGTTAAATGCCACTGTTCTCAACACTGGCTCCATATTAGAATCATCTGAGGAGTCTGGTTGTTTTTAATGATGACGCCTGCGCTTCTCCCCCGACCTAACTTAGAACCTCTGGGGACTAGGGCCTGGTATCAATATTTTAAAAATACTTCCCTACATGTTTTTAATATGCAGCCAGATTTAGAACCATGAGTTAAAGTAAGGAAAAGCAGTTTCAATGCTTTTATACTGAAGGTAGAAGATAAAACATGTGGTTGGAGAAGCATCCTGATTGTATTGGTGCTGCTGACTGGCTGAGGCAAATGGATCATGAAGTATTGGGGTTGAGAAGACATAGTTGCCCGTATGTTAGACAGGCTGTCAGCATAGACACCAAAGTCACCAATAGAGAAAGATGACAGGGGAGATCTGAATGGAAAGGAGATTCACTAACAAACAAATGGATTTTTGTGAAGTATGGTGGATACTTAAATGCTCCAACAGTACTACCCTAGATATGATAGGCCACAAGCGCTAGAAACTTGTGTTTACATAATTTAATGCTAATCTCTTACTTAAAGTTAACTTACGTATGTCTGCAAAATCTTTGGCAGTTAGCTTTTTAATTTTGTTGAATCGTGCATAAAGATAGGCTGATTCCTTTGGCAACGGTGGGACAGCATCAATGTCCACTTCTTCACAGTAGACAGAGCCACTTAAACAAACACACAACAGGCACGTGGGCATTTCTAGATTGGGAAACAAAATCATAAAAATATAAACAGCAGCTTAAAAATATTTGGCCTCTAGTGGTAAATTTATTGCTATCATGAATGTTATTACTAATTTGAAAAGATATTTTACAGAATTACAGGTGATAGCAGGAAAGATATCATGGTCATGAAAGTTAGTGACCTATATTATAACTGATAATTCACCAGAATTTTAGAGTCTATAATCCACAATCTCTTTTATTCTCGTATCTGTTTTAGCAATGATCCCTTGATTGCTGAATTGACTGACAGTTACATTTCCTCATTTGAATACCAAAAAACATTCATAAAGCAGGACTTAAGATAAACACAAGCTTCGTTTATCACTTGGTATGGGAGAAACACATTTCAGATTGGTGACAGTAGCTAATGAGTTTAGAAACCACAAGTTAAATAAACAAACTATTAACTCAAAAGTAGAATCATCGTAGGCGCTGTTGGGATCCCATTGCACCCTATGTCATTTATTGCGTTTACTTGTCATGCCTCTTTCATCTCCTTCAACCTGGAACAGTTCCTTAGTCTCTGTTTTTCATACCTTTTACTTTTTTGAAAATTTTTGAATTTTTAAAAAATTTTGCTTTTCAGGGCATTTATTTTGCAGAGTCTTACAATTAGGGTTTGTCTGAGGTTCTTCATTTTTGGCAGGAATACCATGGAAATGATGTTGGGTCCTCAGTGCCATGTTTCAGGGAGCACACGGTATCTATTGTCCCATTCCTGAGGATGCTATCTTTGGTCACTTTGTTCAAGCCTGTCCGCCATGTTTCTTACTCTGTAAAGTTACTATTTTTCGCTTTCTAGTTAATAAGTATCTTCCAGAAAAGTATTTTGAGATTCTAACCATCTGGTTTGTCATCAAACTTTAACCCACTAGTTTTATCATCTGTTGATGGTTCTTACCTGAATCATTTGTTGCTAGGATAGTTGCCAAATAGTAATTTTCTAATTCCATCATCCTTTCTACAAATATTTGTTAGTTGGCATTCTGGTGTAAGGTAGAATATTCCCTTCTTATTTATTTATTTCTGTCATTATGAACTGATGAATTCCTTATCCCATGGGTCATAATACGTTACCTCATATTTATTTTGATAATCAAATTGTCACAGATTAGCCAGTGAGAACTCTTGTAAGCTCTTTTTTATCCTGCCCCAACTTTTTTGTGGTTAAATGATATACAATAAGTTGCACATATTTAACTTGTATAATTTATAAATTTTTGACATACATATATACCCATGAAACCATTATTACAATTGAGATAATTAACATATGCATCACCCCCAAAAGTTTCTCATGCCCTTTTGTAATTCCTTTCTCCTAACCTTGTCTCCAAGCAACCCTGATCTGCTTTCTGTCATTATATGTTACTTTGCATTTTTCAGAATTTTATAACAAAAGAAATATACAGTATATACTCTTTTGTCTGGCTTCTTTTACTCTGCGTAGTTAGAGATTCATCTATTGTTGTGTATATCAGTAGTTCATTCCTTTTTATTACTGAGTAGTATTCCATTTTGTTAATATATATACACACAATATATACGATCATCTCTTATGGACATTTGTGTTGTTTCTAATTTTTGGCTATTTCAAAGAAAGCTGCTATGAATGTTTATGTACAAGTTTGTGTGGACTTAGTGAGTTCATTTCTCTTGGGTAAATACCTAAGAGTAGAATGGCTTGGTCTTATTATAGGTGTATATTTACCTTTTGAAGAAAGTCCCATACTGTTTTCCAAAGTGGTTGTGCCATGTTACATTCCCATCAGCAGTGCATCAGAGTTCCATTTGCTCCACCTCCTTGTCAACATTAGGTATGGTCGGACTTTTTAATTTTAGCCATTCAAGTAAGGTGTGTTGTAGTATCTCAAGTTTTGATTTGCATTTTCCTAATGACTAATGATGCTGAGCATCTTTTTATATACTTATTTGCCATCCACATATTTTCTTTACTGAAGTGTCTGTTCATATCTTTTGCCTATTTTTAAATGGATTTTTTGTATTATTATTATTATTGAATTATAAGAATGTATAATATAGATATAAGTCGTTTGTCAGATTTACGTTTTGCAAGTGTTTTCCTCCAGTCTGTGGCCTTTTTATTTTCTTCTCAACGTCTTTTGAAGAGCAAACATGTTTAATTTTTTTTTTCTTTTGTTTGCTGAGGAAGATTTGCCCTGAGCTAAACTGCATTGCCTATCTTTCTCTATTTTGTATGTGGGTTGCTGCCACAGCACGGCTGACAAGTGGTGTAGGTCCACGCCAGGATCCAAACCCACAGACCTGGGCCCTGAAGCGGAGCCTGCGAATTTAACCACTACGCCACAGGGCCGGCACAAACATTTTTAATTTTAATGAAGAACAATTGATTTTTTTTATAGTTCTTGCTGTTTGTGTTCTATTTAAGAAATCTTTTAACTTAGCGGTTAAGTGCACACGCTCCACTACTGGCGCCCTGGGTTCAGATCCCGGGCGCACACCGATGTACCGCTTCTCCGGCCATGCTGAGGCCGCGTCCCACATACAGCAACTAGAAGGATGTGCAACTATGACAGACGACTATCTACTGGGGCTTTAGGGGGGAAAAAAAAAAGGAGGAGGATTGGCAATAGATGTTAGCTCAGAGCCACTCTTCCTCAGCAAAAAGAGGAGGATTAGCACGGATGTTAGCTCAGGGCTGATCTTCCTCACAAAAAAAAAAAAAAAAAAAGCGAGAAGAAATCTTTGTCAACCACTAAGTTTTTATCCTGTATTTCTTTTAAAAGTTGTATAGTTTAAGCTCTTTATATTTAGATATGGGGTCCATTTTGAGTTAATTTTTATGTATGGTGTCAGGAAGGGTCAAAGTTCATTTTTTTCCCCTATCACTATCTGATTCTTTCAGCACCATTTTTTGAAAAGATAATCCTTTCCCCATTGAATTGCATTGGCACCATTATGAAAAACCAGTTGACCATATTGTCTAAGTCTGTTTCTGGATTCTTCTGTTCCACTGATCTATTTGTTTATTTGTATGCTAATACCACAATGTCTTGATTCCTGTAGCTTTATAATAAGTCTTGGTATTAGGTAGTGTAAATCCTCCAACTTTATTCTTCCTCAGTGTTGTTATGACTGTTCTAGGTTCTTTGTATTTCCATATAAATTTTAGAATCAGCTTGTTAATTTCAGAAAGGCTGCTAGGATTTTAATTGGGATTGCATTGAATCTACAGACAAATTTGGGAAAAATTGACATCTAAAAATACTGAGTTTTCTGGTCCTTGGACACAAAATATTCATCTATATATTTAGGTCTTTAATTTCTCTCAGCATTGTTTTCTAGATTTCAGTGTTACAAGTCTTGTACATCTTTTACCTTTTGAAGAAAGTCTCAAACTATTTTCCAAAGTGGTCATGCCTGTATATTTTTTATATTATAATTAACTTTAAAAAAATTAAATGTTGCCATTATTCTTTGAGAACGTCCTTATTTTCTGTCATGGTAAGATGTCTCAGACATCTTTTTATGACATGATTTTATTTATAAATGTATTTATTTGTTTGCCTGTGTGACACATAACTGTGTTCTAAAATAAAATTTACACAAAAAACGTATCCTCAGAAAAGTGCCACTACCCTCCCACTGCAGCCCTCTCAGGTCCCATCTCCCCAGCTTTCCATTTCCCTGCCCCAAGCCAGAAATCAGCTATTTCTTCAAGGAGTACTGGTTCCTTTTAGTGGAGAATGGTATTTAGAAACCAAGATTTGGGTGTGGATATACTCACTGCTACTTGAGTCTCATTGCCTCTAGGCTCTTTCAGCAGAGAGAGCTAGGAAATATATGTATGTGTTGTCTTGCTCTCCATGTATATTACACATACATACACATGGAGATGTGTATAGACATACATGTATATATACACCATATACTCATATATATACATAAATACACCATATGCATATGTACACATACACAGAGAGACCACATCTGTATCTATTTCTGTATCTGTACACAAACCATGAGTAGATGCTGTTTGTTTGCCTATGTGAAACATAACCTTGTTCTAAAATTAAATCTACGCAAAAAGTGTATTCTCAGAGAAGTGCTACTACCCTCCCCCCGCAGCCCTCCCAGGTCCCATCTGCCCACCTTTCCACCCCTGGTCCCATCCATAACCTGTGGGTAATTAGTCTCAGTTTTGTAATTACCCTTCTTGAGTTTCTTTTCACACAAATGAGCTGGTGCGTATATCTGTTATCATATGCCCTCCTTGCTTAGGTGACAGGCAGCACACTGAAGATACTCTTGGCGCTTTGATTTTTCACATGAGATGTTCTGGACATCACTCCATGTTCATTCATAGAGATCTTCCCCATTCGTTTTACAGCTGCATAGTGTTTCCTTGTGTGGATGGACTATACTTTATTCAACCACTCTTCAGTGTCTGGGCAATTAGATTGTTTTCAATATTTTGCAATTGCAAGCAGTACGTCAGTAATTTTGCATATGTATTTTCTTACTTGGGAGCTGTGTCTCTAGGGTAAATTCCTAGAAGTCAATTGCTATGTTACAAAGTAAATGCGTATTTAGTTTCATTTGATATTGCCAAATTCCTGTCCAAAAACGTTGTACCAATTTGCATTTCCACCAGCAATGTGTAAGATTGTCTGATACCCTAAAGCCTTGCCAATGGAATATATTAACATATTGTCACATTTTTAATTTTTGTCAATCAGCTAGGTTAAAAAATGGTATCTGAATATAATTTTAACTTGCATTTCTCTATGTGTGAGATTGAAGATCTTTTCAATGTTTAAGGGTCTTTTTTATATCATTTTGTGAAATGTCTTTATATCATTTGCCTGTTTTTCCAGTGTATTTTGGTCAATTTCTTTTTCCTGGATTTTTGCATATTCTTTATAAATTAGAGATATTAACTCTTTATCAGTGACATATGTTGCAGATATTTTTCTCAGTTTTCTGTTGTCTTTGACTTTATGATGTTTTTTGCCATGCAAAAGTTTCATTTTCTGGAGTCAAATTTATTGGTCTTTTCTGTTATCATCTCTAGATTCTGAAGCACTGCATGCCCTGGTTATCTTACAGTGTCTGTATGGTTCACTGTTTACAGTCAGACCTAGTGTGTGGGCAGTTTGTGTTTCTGTGTGAGGGGTGAATCTAATTGTGTCCTTTCAGTTGACAGCCCGTCATCCCAGCACTGTTTTTTTAAATTATGTACTGAATTTCTACATGTGTTTCTGGACTTTCTATTCTATTCATGCACCAGTATCACACTTGTTAAAGTATATTCTAATGTGCAGTACCTCTGGTTCCTGCAGATACCTGTCATTTTTCAGGGTTTCCCTGGCTATTTGTGCAGGTTTGATTTTCCATTTGAACTGGAGAATCAACCTTACCAGCTAAAACTTAAGAAGTTTACTGTTATAAATTTAGGGAGAGGTGATCTTTATGATATTGAGTCATCCTATCCAAGAGCAAGGGATGTCTTTCCATTTGGTCAAGTCTGTTTTTACTGTGATACTTTTCAAATTTCTTAAGATGTGTTTTTTCTTTTGGTCCATTTTAATTGTATTGTAGCAGTATAGAAATTAATGTGTGATTTTTTTTCATGTGTCGGGTGTGATAACGTTCTGTAATAGAGCAAGAATAAACCAAATAGATAGGAACTATTAAGTAGTACTTTGTAATTTGTTATAAGTTCTCTCTTGTTTTAATTGAAATGTGCATTATAATTGTTCATGTGTATAGCCGTCTCTCTTCTGTGAGTTTCTTGAAGGCAAGAATTACATTTTGTTTACCTTATCTTCAGGCTGTACATAGTATTTGCAAGTAATTGGTGTTTAATAAATCTTTCTTGAATTGATTTTATATAGATAGAGGCACACACTTTGTAGAAGTTCAACTTGGACTCAGTTTTGGTTGTTCTTGAATGTTCCTAGTCCGCGTTTCTCACTCCTAATGTGGGATGGCAAATGATGTGCACTCCCAGTATACCTGTTGACTTTATCATTGGAGATGAAATTCTACTGTTTGGATTTACTACATCCTGAGGCAATTTTTGATTACTATAAGGAATAAAGTTCCATTATAAACTATTTTTTAAAGCTCCTTTAAAAACAATTAGATGATAGAGTATTCATACTTACCATCATTTTCTTTCTTGGGGGTTAATGGTGTTACATTCTCGTCTTTTTGTAATTGAAGACTTTTCTCATCAGAAATTATCATAGTTTCTTTTTCCTATTGGAAAAATAAAAATTTATTATCAGGTGTGATAAAGTCTAATTTTAACTATAAAACTGAGGGATCACGGACAACATCTGTCTTGTCATAGTCACAGTGGCATTTCTTTTGTGCTCCATTAGGATTTTATGTGTAATTCCATTTCATCATTTATTAAGTTATAATGTAAATATTTGTTTAGCTTGTTTTCACTCCAGACTGTAAACTCCATGAGTAAAAGAACCAGGTCTTTTTTATTTTTCTATGTCCAGAAGCCAAACTCAGTGCTTCCTAAATGTTGACGTATTGAAATTCCAAATGGGAGCTAGGAGAGAATTCTCTGACTCGAAATGAAAGTTTTTCTGAGGTGAAGATAGTGTCTTGAGATCATCTTTATGTAGAGTAGCTCTTTTAATTATTCTTTATAGTTCTGTCTGAACTGAATTCCTGATGTCAGATTCTACCATGTTTAACAGGACTGAAGCACCAGTCATGTCGTCTGTGTGAAGCAGAGTAAGCTCTTTGGATCTCTTCCAGAAGTGACCCTTAATTACCCACCTGCCTCCATTAGGCGCTGGCCCTGGAGCCCTTTTATTGTTAGCTCTGGGGGAAATGGGTCTTTATCATTTACTCACTCTTTCCTATTCTGGGAGAGAACATTTTCTATTACACTAAAGTATGTTATATGAGGTCCTAGTCTTTCCACCCATTGGAAGCGTGTTCCACCTTTAGTCTCCGTCTTGACTCCTTCATTCTCTCGTGTGTTCTGGTTGAACAGCCCCTCCACTCTGCATTTGTATATTAAGCGCTGTTGAATTCTACTCCGCTTCACCAGTATCTTAGTCCACACATTTATAGTAACTTAGAGGGGCTTCTAAAGCAACATGTAGAGAAGTTCTTACTTCTTACTTTTTAGGGACCAGGGAATTTTGAAAGTGTTCCTTTAACTGATTGATAGATTCAAATCATCCATGTGAGCCAATAATTTATTGTTATGATGGGCCTCTTTTTTTTTAATTTGAAACTATGAGTAGTGATAACCTCTTTTTTTCTTAATGTTGGGCAAAAATAATACTAGCATATTAACTAAGTTCATTGAAAGAAACTGGTGTTAACATTGCTCATTGCGTTCTAAAAAAAAAGAAGCAGTTATAGCTGGTCACCCTTAAAATCTTTGCCATCTTATTTATAGTGGAGAAGAACTGTTGAAGCAATCAACATTGTTATATATTTGGCTGCATTTCTCATTTTCCATTGTGTGTGTGTGTGTGTGTGTGTGTGTGTGTGAGAGAGAGAGAGAGAGAAAGAGAGAGAGAGAGAGAGAGAGAGAGAAATAGGCAAGCAACAGATACTTGGGTGCTGTATTAACTTTTTCCTTACCCAGCGTTCATTTCTGTGTACTAAGAAAACCACAAGTAGTTACTTAGCTCATACAAGTGGAGTATGAAAGTCATCCTTGTAGTGTTAACTCAAAGACAATTACAGTGACTTGGTACAAATTGATTGATAGAGTCTAAATTGTTGAAACTGCTTGAAAAAGAAAGCCCCATATTAAGTCATTTTTCTTTTTTTGGTACTGTGTATAGTTGGCATATGTAAATTATTGTGAAATGCTATAGATAACAAAATAACCAGTATTTTCTATTTATTTCCTTGAACCACTTCTTCCTAAAATAATAAACCTTAAGCTGGTAATCCATCTTTATTTCTCCTAATACACATTTTTCCTAATTTTTTTTGAGGCAATATAATATGCAAATATAGGGCATTGTATAACATTACTTAACATATAAATCTCAACTGGTCAAGGTCATCTTAACGTTTAGTTTTCCTTAAATCTTATGTTTTGGTTGCTGTAGATACTGTTTGGTTACCATAGATTCTATTTATTAATTTGGGAGGCATACATACTTTAAAAATATAATCTTAGGGACAGTTATTTTGAAATTACTTTGACTCATTTAAAGTGGTTTTTCTTTCCCCTTATCAGACACATTCAGAAAAAACAAAAACATGCATTTAAATGGGCATCTATTTTAGAAGTTAAATTTAGAGTAGAAATAAATTACCTTATTATTTTTTCCATCCAGGTATTTATCCTCATAATCTTGGCTAGATAAGGTTTCTTCAAAATTATTTGTTCCATAATCATAGATAATGCGTGGGTCCTGCTGAGTTGGTGGCGCTGGCTTTATCAGAGGCACAAACAGTAACAGGAGAAGTGTTGACTGCAGAGTCTTCATTTTAGCGAAAACCAAGGTGACTGGAAGTTAATAAGCTAGTGGCCTGCTGACTCTGGGACAATACTCTCTTTTTCCCTGGAAATAAAAACGCAGACCTTAGAAGCAATATTTAAAAGCTTAGAGGACTTTTTGGCAGGATGTACGCAGTGGGGGCCAGAGAACAAATATTTAACCCTTAGTGATCTTTAATTAGATCCTAAAAGTTTTTATGTATCAGTGACATTCTGGAAAATAGTTTCAGGAAATGGTTTTATTTGTTTTCTGTCAAAAATCCAAGCAATGTTGATAATTTCAGTTTCTTAATAATTAGGTGCCCTAAACAAAGGTACTGTATGCAATTGAAATCTCCTTAGGATACCTGTAGTATATAAATAGTTAAAATGAAGACCCAAGATCCTGTCTCATGTGAGTTAAAAATATCATATTTCAACTTTACTACTTTATAAGAGCCCTTGATTTGCATTGGTATGAACAGAAACAAGTTCCAAGAAAAGTTTTAAAACTTTAACATTATGAAAAGTAGTCATTAACACTTACTTTTAGGTAGTACAGAATATAGGAAAAGCCATCATTTTAATTTTCTTAGTTTTGTAATTTTCATAGGTATCACTATTTTTAATCAATAGCGTTGCTTTTTAAATTTAAACTATGAAAAATGCAAAAATAGTATTGCAGACTAGAAAAAATAACTTTAATCAAGGATTTGAGGGAATGAAGTGGGAAGGATTCTTCCAGGCTCGCCAGTGGATTTTATCTGGTGGTGCACATTTCAGACTTTTTCTTAAGTAACTTCGAACAGAATCAACCAGTTGCTGGTGCTGCATCATAGTTCCCTGTTTACCAAAAATCAGTGGTTGAAAATTAAGAGTAACATGGTTTTGTGACTTTTGCGGCACCGTGTTCTTGCCTGCATGGATATTAAAGTTTATGCAATGATATACTAAAGTACTTGTTAAAAAGTAATTGTTCAAGGTAGCTGAAACTTAAAAAAATTAGAGATGGCCTTTACATTTATCAAGACTGTTAGAGGAGTCACATCTTAACAAACAATATTTAAAATAGTATGAGAAAAAAGAGCCTACCGTTGTAGCTGCTTTGAAGTTTTTGTGGTTTTCCTCAATAGATGTTCATGCCTGTGCATTAGCCCCAAGTGGGAGGGTGAATGAGGAAAGCTGTGGGTTGATTTCAAACTGCTGAACAGAATGTCAGGGCCCAACAGCTTTAAAAGCAGTTTCCATGTGTTAGAGATCTTGGCCAACATTCTTTCTCTGGGGTGAAATGTAGTGTGTTGTACGAGAGAACCACGCTTAAAATCTTTGTAACTGCTGTGCTCATTCTGCTCCTACGAGTTACTGCAAGCTCGTGTTATTTTTACTTTTACTGTGGTGTGATAAACACTAACGTTTTAGTGAATATTAGTTTATGAAGATGACATAGTTATAAAATCATGTTTTCATTTTAATGCTTTCCCAGCAGATAAAACATCTACATTTTGAATGAAATAAAATAGCAAACCAAAGCATAGTCTATGCTCTTAATTTTATGAGGAGTAAAAATATTGTTCTAATACTATAATTAGTTTATAGCCAAGAAATTTCCAATGTAAAAATTAGTTTTAGCATAAATTATTTTCCAGATAAATCATTTGGAGTCCCCCTCTTTATTTTAGTTACATATAACAAAAACCCAAGTGTGAGAATTAGCTTTTAAAAAATAAATTTGATTTATAATTTGGGTTTTGATAGTAAAAGATATTTTTGTTTGCTAAATGAAGGAAACTGTATTAAAATTATTTTAATATTAAATTTGAGTTTTAGAAGTTTAAGTGGTATTTTAGATAACTATATGAACACCTTTAAAGATTCATTTTTATTTTTATCACTCTTTGGTGCTATTAGCAATCAAGGTAACATTTCTTTCTCCTCTAAGCTAAAAAATTCAATAAATATGGATATGGATAGATATTTTATTAAAAAATAGAAAATGAAAGAATACTAATTTGTTCTTTTTTTCCATTCAAAGATGGCTTTAGAGCCTTTCAAATTAAAGCTTATATAAACTAAGATTTTTGAATATTCACATTTTATATGATTATGAATATTTTAAATTTACTTGTGATATTCTCTGGTTTGGGTTGATATAAATTGTCAATTTTATGGCTTTAAGGATACAATAAAACCTTTAAAGTCTTTGAAAATTAATAATGAAACAGCAGACGTTGATTTGTTCTACATTGTGTGGCAGGTTTAACAGGATGTTGAGAAGTGAACTGGATAGGTGTTAAATGTCAGATTTAAAGATTCTTAGAGATTCATAGTTTTACTAATGGTATATGCAGTTTGTACCACAGAAAATTATTTTGTGGATTATAACATCTTTCCTTGAAAAGTTATGACCAGTGAATACAGTTTTATTGGCATTCGCTCATTTAGTAGAATTCTGTTGAGCACCAGTTCTCTGTCAGAACTACAGACAAATAAGCTCAGACAAGCAAAACTCAGTTTCTCCCCTCAAGGAAGCTTGTAGTCTGTAAGTCAGCAGGAAGGGCACCAATCAAGCGACAGAACGCACGGTGGGACCTGCCACACAGAAATGCACGTGGGGTTCTGCAATAGCCTGGGAGAGGGTGAGGCCACGGAGGCTGCACCAAGCTGACTTGTGTAGAGAAGAGCGGCGGGGCAGAGGGCGAGGTGTTCTAGGAGGGGGAGCGGCACACAGGTGTGAGAAAATTTAAAATTAGTTGTATATGGCTGGAGCTCAAAGGGAGAGACAGAAGAGGTAAGGAAGTGGCACATGTTAAGAGATCAGAGGACTAGAGGTCAGGTTAAGGAGAGTCTTTTATACCTTGCTAAGGTGTTCGGGCTTTATTCTGTAGCCAGTGAGAGACCACTGAGAGATTTTTAAGGTAGTGAGTGACATGATCCTATTTTCATTTTAGAAATATCCCTCTAATGTTGCATTTCTGAAGAATACCACTGCTAGTCTGTTGCATTTGTTCTTTATTGTAAGTTTAGTGGCTTAAAATAACACACATTTATTATCTCACAGTTTCTGTGGGTCAGGAGTTTGGGCATGGCTTTGCTCGGTTCTGTGTTTCACGACCTCACCTGAAAGCCGCAATCAGTGTATTGTCTGAGGCTGCACCCTCCTTTCAAGAGTTGAGTAAGGGGAAGGATCTGTGTGTGAGCCCATGTGGCTATTGGCCACAGCTCCATGCAGAATGTGGAAGCAAGGGCCTCAGTTTCTTGCTGGATGTTGGCATAAGGCCACCCTCAGTTCCTTGCAATGTTACCTCCTCCACTGGGCAGCTTAAAACGTGGCAGTTTTCTTTTTCACAGCCAGAAAGGGAGATAGTCTCCAGTAAGATGGGCATTACAGTCTTTGTAGCAGTCACGCACACGTAATCGCAAATTACTGAGCCTCACTGTTCCGAGTTTTTACTGGGGCTTCGTTACATAGGCAACATCGATTGATTGGGTGTCCACGTGGTTGAACTCAGCCTCCAGGTCAACTGATACTGCATGACCCAGAGTCCCCATCCTAAATCACATGGTTGTCTTTCTGGCATGGCCAACCCAACCCTAAGACTATCAGATATGGCCAGTCCCACCCTAAGATCTGGTGAGATGCCCCTTCTCTAAACGAAAATATAGATTATCTCCTAGAAGCTGACGGCAAAGGCCAGACCTCTCTTTGGGGTCACATTCTTTACTACACAGTTCCCAGTATAAAATATGTTTGAAACTTAGGTTTTCTATTCCAGAAAGAAGTATTGTATCCTAGTATAAAGCTATTTAGCTTTTACTGCACAGTAGTGAAAGATGAAAACTGTCTAAGACTCAAGAGTGGGCATTTATCCAAAATTGAGAGAATTTTCTCTGTGGAGTTCTTTCTAGTGACCCTATTGTGTTATCCTTGGTGTTTTTGTGGAGTTTTGTATCTTTGACGTCCCAATGGACTGTTGGTTCTATCTCCTCAATTGTTTCTCAGGAGTGGGCAACCAAAAAATATGTCGAGTGGAATTGAGTTTTAGAATCAAGGGTTTTCTAGGAGGGATTTTTTTTTGGAGGTGGCTTAGTTGTACTGACTACCATATAACTACCAAGTGGATTGGCTTTCAAAAAACCCTACAAGCCAGAAGAGTCCTCTTCTGTCTTCATCTCCATCCTCTAACTTCGTTGGAAGTAGCATGATTTAGGAGTCAGAACACCTAAGCACTAGTTTTGCTCTGTCATTAACCTTTCCCTGATCTTAGGCAAGTTAACTTCTTTGTGCCTCAGTTTCTTTATCTGTTGGACTAGAATCTAGTTCCTATAGTTTCTCAACCTCAGCAGTATTGAAATTTTGGAGCAGATAATTCTTTGTGGTGGGACTGTCCTGTGCATTGTAGGACATTTAGCAGCATCCCTGTCCTCTGCCCACTAGATGCCGGTAACACTCCTCCACCTCTAATGCCCACCTGTCATGACAACCAAAATTGTCTCAAGACATTGTCAGATGTCCCCTGGAGGGCAGAATTGCCCCCATTGAGAAGCACTGCATTACCAGATATCTATAGACCCTTTTAAATCCAACATTCTAGGATTTTATGGAAAGTCTGTGGTTTGAATCTCCATCTGAAATCGCATGCTTATGCCTGAAGCCCAGTCATGTGCTCAAATGAGATAAAGATGAGAACCCAAGTACTTCCCAGACAAAAGGGTGAAATTTAAAGAGAGGTGAATTAGGACTCAATATAAGGAAGGGTTCATGTTAAAAATGTATCGTGAGTTTAATTTTTCTGAGTAGTACATATATCTCCATATAGTGAATTCTTAGCCTAAACATGTAAAAGTAATAAGACGTGTCCATGACACTGTGATATTTACCTGCTAGGCATAGTTCCTTGCTTCCGAGCTGTGTGATTCTGAGTAAAATGCCTACCTTCTCAGAGCCTCTGTTTCGTCTCCTGTAAATGGGAAGGTGGGGCTGTTGTGAGAACTAACCTGATGGTGTGTGGAAAGCAGGCCCCCTGGTGCTTGGCATACAGTTGTATTCCTCAGAGGCTGGCGCTGTCTTCATTGGTCTGGTGACCTGGAGCTTTTGACTGCCTTGCCTAAATGTAACTAAAAGCAGTTAAAAAAAGGAAAGAAAGCAGATGGAAAACAACAACAGAAAGTGAAGAAAAGGGCGACTCCAACCTGATGCAAGACTTGGGCAAGTAGAACTCCCCCACAATAAATTGTAGCTGCCTTGCAGTGCCTTGCACTGTAATGGATCCAGAGAAGACCGAAAAGTATTTATTTACTTACTTATTTAGGAAATTGGAACATATAAGAAACTTTGGATTTTTAGCTATTATGATTTAATTTTGTTTCCAGCTGCTGTTATACTTTATTTCCAAGATTTAGAAAAAATGGATTTGAAATCAGGAAACTGGGGTTTTGGTTCTAGCCATCTTTGGGTCATGTGAATTCTTTGCAGAAGTGAAAGTGTACAGAGGAGAGAAGGTTCATTTCTTCTGTTTTTCCCATGGAATTGGTTCAGTGTGTTGTACAATATGCATACCTCTGCATTTTAGTTTAGTGGTCCCAACTTGAGGAGTAAAGGGAAAATGTATGGTGTTTTAGGTAATATTTAAACACCAGCTAAACATTCTCAACCAGTATTATTGTGAGCAAATTTATGAAATATCCTTTATTTTTATTTCTTTATCCTTTATTTTTATTTTTATTTACAAACCCAGATTAGCCACGTAGCTAATATAACTAATACTTTGAAGTGTAACGAGGAAATAGATGAGTTTTCATCTTTTTCTTTCCTGTTGTAGTTATCAAATCAACTGATTTTGTCTGTAGCTCTGGAGGGTAACTGAGCAATCTTGATGTGCTAGTTGAAAAAGTACTTTATTCTTCAGTTTCTCCTAAGGAAAGCACTGGGGGTTATTTTTTTTGTTTTTAATGAGAAATATTTGGAGTGGGTATGAGTTCTTCAGGGCATTTTCAAATAACAGAGATGGTTGTTAACCTGCCTCCTCACTGGGCCCTGCAGCTGGAGGACATTTTGTGACATGTTGAAGTATACACATCTTTGGAGGGAGGAGCCAGAGCAGTTGACCTCTTCTTCCTAGTAGATGGGGAAGTTGCACCTTACTCTGGCCAGAGGAGCCAGGCTGAGTGCCTTGTGAGGGATGGGGGAAACCCTGCTCCCCTCCCTGGTAGGCCGTCTAGAGGTGCTTTGGAGAGCTGAACTATCAAATGGTGATGTGGAATATGTTTGTTGTGGTATATGATTTATATAGGGATCATATATAAATGATCCCTCTTGTCTCTTCCTATTGAAACTTGGTAAAGTCTCTCTTGGTCACTAAACTTTTGTACAAGTAGAATCTTGGAAGGAATCTTGGAAGGGCCCTGAGAGAGCACCGAGGTGTGCGAAGCACAGCTGGCATCTGGGGACACATAGATCCAGCAGGCTGCTGGGCTCGGCTTGCTGCAGTAATAGTTACTGCTTGTTGGATGCCTGTACCTGGCGTGCACTTTCTTAAATGCTGTTAGGTACACCATTTCTCTTTATCCTTATAACAGCCCTATGAGAACCACCTTCCTTGTTGAAATGCAGAAATGGAAGCTTCGAAAAGTTAGGTAATTGACTCCCAGTCAACTAGCTTAGTTAGAAGTGTGAAGTCAGGCTTCTACCCAGGCACAGCTGATTTCAAGTTCCTTGTTTGGAATTGCTAAATGGTGCAATTTTATTCTTTGCTAAGGCTGTCCTTTGAGGATTAAAATGTATTTTCTTTAATCAGTTTTTTTTGTTGTTAGTGCCATCCAGTCTATTCCAACTCCTGGCAACCCTGTGTATAGGAGGGCGGTGTTTTTGTGCCATCCTCTCACCTTCCTCGCTATAGCAGACAGGGCTTAATTTATCAGTTTAGGAGAAGATAAAAATAGAAGCTTCAGAATATTCTGAAAAATAGAAGCTTCAAAATATTCTGAAACTTGGAGGGTTTTTGTTTAAACTTTGCAAGAGGTGAAGTAATTCAGAATATTAACCTTGCCTTGGGAGCTTGTTTTCTCCACTGTTGACAGTTAGTTCCTACTCACACATCAAGATACCACCTCTTCCTTGAAGCATTCAACCGCTTCACCACATCCTGGCCAGAAGTGAAGTTAGGATATCTGCGTTCACATCGTCTTTCATAGTTACTGCCACTTTAGCATTTTATTTATTTCTTGTGTTAGAATGAGTTGTGTTGTTTGTTTGTTTGTTTGTTTGTTTGTTTTGGTGAGGAAGATTGCCCCTGAGCTAACATCTGTGCCCATTTTCTTCTACTTTGTATCTGGGATGCCGCCACAGCATGGCTGATGAGTGGTGTGTAGGTCCATGCCCAGGATCTGAACCCCGGGCCACCAAAGTGGAGTGTGCAAAGTGGGCACACTCCACTATGCCACCAGGCCGGCCCCCTAGAATGAATTGTTTGATCTTACTTCATTAAATTTTTTAATAATAGCTTTTTTGAAATAATTCACATCTTATACAATTTACTCTTTTAAAGTGTACAATTCAATAGTTTTTAGTGTTTTCAGACTTGTAAAACCATCACCACAATCAATTTTAGAAAGTTTTTATCACTCCAAAAAGAAACCCTCTACCCCTTATCAGTCACTCCCCACTTTCCCTCCATTCCTCTGCCCCCAACCCCAGGCAGCCAATAATCTTTCTGTCTCTGTAGATTTGCCTGTTCTGGACATTTCACATGGATGGAATCATAAATTATGTGGTCTTCTATGACTGGCTTTTCACTAGCATGATATCTCCATGATTCTTCCATGTTGTAGCATGTATCAGTACTTCATTCCTTCTTTTGGCTGAATAATATTCCATTGTATGGATAGACCACATTCTCTTTACCCCTTCATCAGCTGATGGACATTTGGGTGCTTTCCACTGTTTGGCTATTAATGGATAATGCTGCTATGAACATGTGTGTACATGTTTTTGTGTGAACATATGTTCAGTTCTTGTGGGTGTATATTTAGGAGTGGGATTGCTGGATCGTAGGTGACTCTAACTTTTGGAAGAACTGCCAAGACTGCTTTCCAAAGCAACTGCAGCGTTTGATGTCCCCACCAGTGGGGAGTGAGGGTTCCATTTTCTCCACCTTCACGCTAACACTCGTTGTTTGTCTGTTTGATTATAGCCATCCTGTGAGCATGAAGGGGTATCTCACTGTGGTTTTGATTTGAGTTTCTCTGATGGCTCCTCACTAAATTTTAAATTGTTTTAGGTAAGAACTAGTCTTATCCTTCTTATCTCCTAAAACTCCTATAGTATGTTCCACGTATTAGCTCATAATAAATGTTTAAATTTATAACCCTATTTTTAAAAATTTTAATAAAGGGGGAGGTAGTCCTTAAAATTTTTTTACCTCTGTTGAAAGTGTGCTTTGCCCACATCACTAGCATTTTGCTCAGACCTTTCCCCTCACACCTATATCTTACAGTGACACGGGTGCACATAGGTACTGCGTTTCTTGACCTCTCATTGCTGAGCCATACCTACCAAATGACTTGATGACTGTAAATTAAATGAATGAACAAATGTTGTTCATGTTTATTCTGGATTGTTGAGCTTGTCCCTGGGGACAGGTGGGTGTTCTGTTTCTGCTTAATGCTAATAACCTACTCAAAGATATAAAGAGCATTAGAGACTTCATTTTAAACTGTCATCTCCAGAAAAATAAAGACTCACAACTTGAAAACTGCTTCTAAAATATAGTTTTACTCGTCTGGTCTTTCCATATTGTCCAAATTGTTACGCTTGTTCTTTGCCTTCCCTGTATGGGCAGCCCCAGGTTAGTGTTTATTCCTTATCTGAGGAATTCTGTGAGATGTCGGCCTGGTGAATCAAGACAGTTCATCACAGCAGTTAGATCATCTTCATTTTAAGGCATACTGAAGATACTTCAAAGTGATAGATTAAATAATATGAGATTTTTAAGGTTTTAAAGAAGATATCACAGCCTGTCTATTCAAATTTTAAAGGAACTTTATTCAACTTCAGCGCTATGTAAACAGACATTGGCTTATACACCTATATGTTTTTAATGTATTTTGCTAAGAAATAGAAGTGTTTAATAATGTTGATATACTTTTTTATGCTAACATTAACTTAACCTTGTGAACAAAGCAATTATTTATTAGCAAAAATTTATGTAACTAAAAGAAACCTTTCTCTAGTGAATTTACTGTAAAAACATTTATCCCAGTTAAAGTGAAACACAGTAAAGATTGTTTTAGACAACGGCTGAAATTTGCTAAAATACAGATTGTGATGAGATAATTTGGTATTTTTTAGTTATTCAGATACAGGGTTTAAAATTTTGTTGCTTTGGTGCTCTAAGAGGAAAATAAGACTAGCTGATTTTGTGAATCTGCATGCCTTGGATCCCTTAGTAGGCTGGCCTCTTTTGAAAATCAAAAATATCATCCATCGCTCTAAGTGTGGTAGGGCCAGGGGGTGGATGTCATGGTGATGACATCTCAAATACAAGTGTGAAAGCTTTTCTGGAGATCAGGTCAAAGAAAATACTTTACTTCTTAAATGCATGGCTGCCTGTTACATCAGTGTAAACTTGTAGCATTTAAACACCATCCTCATAGTGATTAAAGCACGTGGCTTATAGTTCTTAACTTGTAACGCTACTTCTTTCATCATTCTCAGGAAAATTACTGTTAATAGAAATGGCATACTTGCTTTTTTTCTCAGCATGATAGTATTTTTATGTTTAAAGTTTAGATTTTGATTCCCACTTATTCTAATTTATATTTCTAAAGACTTGTATCATTTGAATAAGTTCTAATCCTGTGTGATGATGTAGATATTACCAACAACTTAAATTCAATCTGATCTTATACTAATACATAATTCTAGATACATTACTGTGAGCTATGCATGATTAGATTTATTTGAATAATAATATTTTGTGAATTCGTGAATGTTTACCTATATAGTTTCTTGCCATTATTGACTTCCATAATAGTGAGGGTCAACGTTTTCTTCTGTTCCTTCTTGTTCTGGGCCTTCGTGAGAATCATCGTGATCTTCACTATCAGCATCATCTTGAAATCTCCTGAAAACTTGAGTCTTCAGTTGTATTGTTTGACCATTAGTGCTTCTTTGTTCACCATAATAAATACTATATATGTGAGGGAAGCAGAGGAGAATGTATGAGTTTATTGGCTCTTTTAGCTTATTTTGGTCCACACGGATGTATGTTAAATGATGGTAATGTAGTGGGTCAACAGATGGACACATCTCTGTAACATTGATATCTGAAACATACAAATTAAAAAATTAATCCTGCTGCATTACGTTCATAATCCTATATTGGACTTTATTAAAATGTTATGTGGGATATAGTTTTATTAATTAAAATACTTATAAGTGGAATTAGGTTTAATTACTTTTTACAGTAATCAAATAATAAAATGAAGAAAATGAAACTATAAATGAATTTTATATTATCAAAATAAATGATGGCTTCATTTGCTATTTAAGTTAATAAATTATTTAAGTAATAACTTCTTAGTAGGGATAATCTCAAAAAGAAAAAGTGAAAATCACCTATCATCTCACTACTCAGGTTGTGTATTTTTTCATATACTCTATACTACTATTTCTCAGTGTTCAAGTTGATAAAATTTAACAGAAAAGACTATAAACTTTATATCACACCTTCTCTTGAGCGAATTTCTGCCATTTCCCTAGCCAACATCAAAGCAACCATTTTCAGCAATGTGTAAAGCATAGATTTTTAAATACTTGTTCTTTAAAAGGTCAAAATACTGTTCTTTCTGTCTTTAAAAAATAATGAAAATTTACATACTTTCAATTTCATTATTTTCTAGGTATAGGTGCTCTAAATTTCTTGGGATATAGAATGCTTGCTTCAGTTTGTTGTGTCCAACATTGAGCTCTATGAGGTTGGGAAGATTAAAAGTATTATACGAGATGTCTTGTAGTTTGTTGTGTGACATTCTTAGAGCATGAAGCTTTGGAAGTTCATTGAAGTAATTTTCTGGTATAGATGAAATTGAATTATTTTCTAAGGACAGATACATAAGTGAAGAAGGCAAACCAGGAGGCATTGATTCTAATCTGTTATTACATAGGTTGAGCTGCATTAATTTTTCCATTTTGGCAAGGATTTTTTCCTGTAACATAGAATCATCAAGATGATTATGACAGAGATCAAGCATAGTCAAGTTTACTAGCCCATCCACAGCATTTGTGTGCAATCTGGAGATCTCATTGTAACCAAGAAGAAGTCTTTCCAAAGACTTAGGAAGAGGAAATGGAAATTCTTCTAAATTGTTATGATGTAGGTGAAGTTGTAGTAGATTTGACAACTTAGCAAATACACCATGATCAATCTTTTGAGATTTAATTTTGTTGTGGCTGAGATTGATCTCTTTAAGATGAGTTGCATTGATGAGTGAATCTGCAGTCACAGCCTCAATTTCATTGAACTGAAGATAGACTTGCTGAATGTGTGCTGGAATGTTTGGGATAGTCTTGAGTTTGCGATTATCACAGTACATTGATGATGGAAAGTTAGGTGGACAGAAGCATTCCCTGGCACAGCCTAAAGTGTGCTGATGAAAAGGAACTCCATAGTCTACGTTTTGACGAAGTTGGAATTCTGGTTGGTAGACATCATCTGGCTCTTGGTCATAATCTTCATCCCACTGATAACTTTCATATTGGCAATATACTTTGACTCCAAGAAAGAAGAACAGGACACATACTGGACTTAAAAAGCCCATGTTCTTTTTTTGTCCTATTGCAAAGGGGAAAGGAAATATATTGTGGGAAAAGTAAGTTAAACTTAGAATAATTCTTGTATAAATTGAGAGTTACATAAAATTTATAATATCTATACCTGTATATATAAGAGAATGTCCAGAATGAATAGGCAATGCTCAAACCAAAATTAATATTTAAGTACCGGTAAGGTGGTATTAAAAAAAAAAAAGTCACATATTGCATTGAACTAGACTAAGTAATCAACTTTTAAGAGAATCTCAGTTTGTTTTGCTCACGAGACTATATATTTACAATGACAGCATGACATCTCTCAACCCCACAGCCATGTGCTCCCTCCACTGTAAATGCTGGGTGTTCTCACTGGCTGTTTGTTCCCTTCAATGATGGTCACTACCCATGAGAGGAGACAGCCTAGGTTTTAGAGAGCTTTACCTAGGAGATTCTTTCTTAATATCAACCAAAATTTTCTCACTGTAACTTGTATTTGCTGATGCTCTTTTCTGCCCTTTGGAAGGACATGGAACACTCCCTTTTATGTGAGAGCCTGAGACATTAAAAATAGCTATCATGTTTCCTATTATTGTTTTTTGTCCAAGCCTAATGGTGACTTCAAATTTTCCCTATGAAACAATTTCCAGAATCCAATTATTTCATCTCTGACTCTACTTGAATAACTACTTCAAATCCCAAATACACAATATATTTACATTCTACAAAGTTTCAGTTTCTAATAGGTTATTCTATACATTTTTCTTATTACCTTCCTAGCTTCCTTCTTTCCACTACTATTTTTAAGTTAAGTTCTAGATATACACATATTAAACACACACTGTCCTGTCTCCCAGGAGTTTAGATCTAGTGGAGAATCAGAGAGATGTGCAATACAGTGAGCAGGAGGGTGTGTAGGGTAGGATTCTAAAGGAAGGAGCACTCAGCTTGAGAAAGACAGAGAGTTAGCACTTGGTGTGCTGAAACTTGAAGTTGTAGTGAATGGTGGCTTGTGTACTGGATGAGGAGCCTGAAGGCCTTCATTTCAGTCCTGTCACTTACGATGGTCAAGTCACTTGACATATCAGCCTGTTGCCTCATCAGTAAAATGAGAATTGTAATGTTTGCCTACTTATCTCACCTGGCAGTTGTTAGGATCATATGAGATATGCATGTGAAAGTGCTTTGCAAATTGGAAGTTGATCCAGATGGAATAAGTATGTTATTTAGGAAAAGGTTAAAAAAAAGAATCATACCTCTTTTATTCTAAGACCATTTTTCTCCACCCTTCTCATCCGGGGTTTCATGAGAGAATTAAGGTCCTAACACACCATTGTATGTAATGAAATGATCTATCTCCTATTCATCTAGAATGGTGCTAGCTATTTTTCATCATTGGGATAATTGAGAAAATAGTTACTTAAATTATTTTCTCTGACAGAACCCCATTTGAGAAAGGCTGCCCTAGACCCTAATAACATCTCAGTTGCTTGTTTTTTTTCAGGTCAGAAACTAAAAGTGTGTAGAATGTAAATATTGTGTGTATTTGGGATTTGAAGTAGCTATTCAAGTAGAGTCAGGCCCTCAGTCTTGTTTCCTTCAGCGATGTTTCCTCCGGTCTCCTCACCATCCCTCCTGTGCACCCACACTGTGGGCCTTACCCTCACCAGTGCTGCAGCCCCTGCGCACTCTGACTGTTGTCTCCTGTCTTTATGGCTTAGTCCGTGTAGTAGCTCCAACTGCAGTCATTCTCTGATTTCAGTGGGACCTAAAATATGTCGATCCTACTGTTTTTTCACCACCTGTCCTCCACACGTTCCAATATACTCAGTTCCTTCTTACCAGCCTAGACCCTGAGTGCGTCACTATGTCACTCCTTTGCATGTGCCCAGACTTTCTGGCCTCTCACATCCTCAGTCTCCTGGTAAACTCCAACCCTGTTACTGCTGTCTCCATCACTCTTCGCCTGACTCACGCAGCTGAATGTGATGGGAGAAAAACAGGACGGAGCCCACTGGTCTCACTTTAATTCACAACCACTCGGGTCCCACCCAGTGACATCTCCTTAGTCCTTTCCTTTTCCTTCTCTCCTAGATAAGCCTCTAGAACCTCATTCCCCAGAGGTTTTGGATGATGACCTTGCTTCCTTTTTTTACCAAGAAAATAGTATTAAACAAATTGTTTACTCTAATATATTTTCTTATATTTAATCTTATTCCTACCTACAGAAAATGCCAAAATAGCAATGGTTTGATCTTTTTAAACAATCTGTGATTTGAAACTCATAAAGTTTCCTTTTGCAACTCTAAATAGATCTCATCCATTGTTCCTTCTTATCTACAGGCTTCATGGAGGACGTGGCATTTGAACTAGACTTTGAAGGAATATTAGAGTTCTCGTAGAGGGAGACAGGGAGGCAGATTTCCAGATAGAAGAGATGAGCAAAAAACACGTAGGCAACAAAGGGTGGGTGATGGGAAGTGGTGGTGAGCTGTTGAAGGAGCAAAGAGGACTGTTACGGCCAGTCTGGACAAAATCTGGAGGGCCTCAATTCTCACCTAAAGAATTCACACTCTGGGACAAACACCTAACTTAATTCATTTATATAGTTGAACCATGGTCTTCACACTGCAGTGTTTATGCATGAAGTAGGAGAGAGTCCTGGGAGGAAGTGAAGTGAAGGAGTGGGCAGTGTTGAGTGCTGGCTGACCCAGACGGGTGTCCGGGAAGCCCCCAGTGGGTCTGATTGAAAGTGCTGTTTCACCTGCCTTACCTAGTGACCTGTGCTAGACGTGTGTGAACATGGTTAGTAAAGCAGCTTATAAGTATTAGTAATTATTTAGTTAGTTTGGTTGGGTTACTTCAGTTAATGATTGTCTTGAATTATTTCTAAGGGGCGAGGCACTGTGTTCGGTGGGGAACACAGAAATGAAGAAGACATGAAGACATGGTCCCCTCTGTAAAGAGCATACAGTTTAGCGGACGAGAGAGACACAACACAGCGAACCATATTCTCAGGCAGAGGGAAATAGGATTTATGGCAGAGACACCAGTGCTGTGGGAGCAGTGGCTTAACCCTGCTTGGGGGAGACAGGGAAGTCTCTGTAGGCATCCTTTGGTCCAGACGTTGGGAGATTAGCAGGAATGGGTATAGAACGTCCTATACATTTTACTTATTCGTTGATAATATTTTATGTATTAAATTTATAGTATTTTACTATACTCATTATAGTATAGCATATTAACTGTTTCAAGTACTTGTCATACTTGGTTTTAGTCTCACTGCACCAGGGAGTTGAGGTTTCGTAAGGTTGTGTGTCCCAGAAGGATGAAGCAGAAGCACAGAGGCAGAGACAAGCAGCTGCGTGGCGTCAGGCCACATAGGGGGCCTTGGAAGCTGACTGTTACACGGGTGAACTTTGAAAACAGCCTTGCTGATCAGAACTCTGAATTTTATCCTTGTGTTGAGAACATTAGCAGTCATCAATTTGTAGCCTTACATTTGAGAATTAAAGTCACGACTCTGTCGTTCAACAGTTTTGAAGAAAGTAAACAAATTACTTTATAGCAAAGTAAAATATATGTTACCAGGTTTTAGAAATTATCCATTAATGTGAATTTCTCATATGATAGGAATAAAAGTTTCTATGTCATAACATTTCTCTTACTTGGAAAAAAGCACTCGTGGCTGCATCAAGAAAGTTCTAATTAAAATCATTAATTAAAATCAGGTAGAACTTTGTTCTGGAAAGTTTAAAGTAATTAGAAAGCCTCATAGCATTTTATTAAAGACTTAATTGTTTTATTGATATACCATAGAAACTAGAGTATAGAAACCAAGTCTTAGTATATGGTTCAGAATTTTTCCCAAAGCAGTTTTAAATTTAACTCTGTAAAACTAAAGTAGTATACATCACTTTATACCCAAGGCCGAAGGAAGTAAGACTCTTTTGCTATTAAAAGTATGAAATTTTCAAAATTATTTTTAGCCATAATACATTTAAATCTTAATTAACTGAAACCTAAGAAGCTAGATCCTTCCGTGCTAGATAGAGCACTTTTGTCTTCCCTTTGGGAGTCAAATGAAAACAAAAACATTCTAATATCAGGGATTTGTCAAATAGAGAAATTGTGAGACAATTTTGAGTGAAGTTTTTCTAGTGAAATTTGTACAAATACCCTTCTTCTCTACACCCAGAATCTCGAGCACCACTCAGATATGTGGCTCAAAGCCTTGCTGGTTTTTTGTCATTTAAAGTTGAGAGAGAGAAAAAGCAGAAAATGATTCCATTAACCGAGAATCTTTCATTCAAAATAAAAAAATCTAAACAGATTATTTATTGGGTAAATCTTAAGTTAGAAAATTAAATTCACTATATTACTTCTTTCCCTGAATATTTTGGCTGCATAAAGTTTTACCACATATTGCTTCCAAAAATTGTGCTTTTATCATGGCTGCAATCTACTTTAATGTTAAACAAATCAAATATACTTTTTTATGTTTAGCAGTAGGACTACTTTCTTAAAAAATTGAAAATTATTTTATCATCATACCTGTTGAGTTTGCTTTAGTTTTCAGGGGTTGATGAATTTGCAAATCCTGTAAGTGAATCAGAAATTCCTAAATTCTTTAACCGAGTCTCTTAAAAATCCACAGTAACTGTGTGTCCAGACAGGGCTGTCCCTTGAATTAATGTAGCAATTTAAGCAAACATAATCTGCTTGGAAAACACTTGGGTTGAATTAAAATTATGTATTTCTTTTCATTATCCAAAACTTCGTGGATTCAAATTAAGATGCTTGTGTTCTTGGTCAGATTTATGTGGCTGGCTTCTTTCTTTTCCCCTTAATTTTGGTTTGAGGTGTGGCAAGAATTTCCTCTAATATGAAAGGCAAACAGAACTAAATGAAACAGCATGTCCTGATTACTGTTTTTATTTTCATTTTCATGCCAAAGAATTCTTCAAATTAAGGTCCACTCTAACATGGAGCTCAGTGTCTCCGCAATTTAAGGTGGAACTGAGTCATCTTGAGACGGCAGTTGTCTGGTACCTTGTGTTCACACCAGTGCTTCCCTTTATTAAGACAAGGAACCAGCATTAGAAACAGCTGGCATTTCATACTTAGTTTATTTTAAAAATTGAATAGATTGTCACTGGTGACACAGATTAAATATATAACTTTTCCATACAAAGAATTTATACCTTTTTTTCTATCAGCTATCCCCTTTCTCACCTTCCTCCCAAATATACCCACTAGAATGCCTTAGAATAATCTTTGAGATAAAAATTAGTCTCTTGGTTGTGGAATTCAGTGTCTTGCACTTAGAAGGGGTATCTCTGATTTGCTTGTTTTTAAAAGTACAAAAAAAAGTTTATAGTATTGAATAAGGTGGAATTAGGAACTTTTGTTGACAACTATTGCCTTTATTTTGCAGATGTGGAAAATTTCCTCATTTCACTGCTGTCTCTCCTGAAGAGTAGCAGCTAACTGCTAAATGCTGTATTTTTATACTAATGTTTTCATATTTTAAACAGAGAGTTAATTTGTATCTCTTGGCAGTGAACTTTGGAATTCATTCTTTGGGAAAGTCTTTCAACATTGTGCAAACTAATAAGGTCAAGTGAATCCTGGAATTCATTTTTGTTTCCTCAAAATAGTGTTTCCCCTTAGATATTTTACAAAGAATTAACAAGATTTATTTTGTCATGTTTTAGATTTTTTAAAAGTATACAGTATTTCGAGTGATGCTTTGGCAATATCGTAAAAATCTCATCTATTATTTGAGACCACCGGTATGTAAAACGTGGCAGACATATTTGGGCCAAGATTTCATCTTGTTACTGATCTTTTTCATATGTTTTCTATTAGTCTTTGTTCTTAAACCTCAGGCTTCCACACTAAGGAAAAGAGAGCAAATCTGTGTACTTGTTTCAAAAATTATTTTACATGCCCTCACAGTTCTTTTGGAAGAATAATTTAAAATCAACAGCTTAATTTTTATATAATTGCTCACATTGTGATTTGAACTTATGATAGTGATTATGTTATTCATGCTCCTAACAAATGTGAAAAGAATATTTATCAATAGATAGCTAGAACCACAGAATTAAAAGTGTCTAGGTGTTTAAATGAGGTGTCTGGGAGGTTTAGTTTGGTGAGGGTGGTGGTGGGGGAGGGGTGGTTTGAGTCAGGCCTTTGAGGAAAAGTAGAAGGTGGAAGTGATTGTGATGGTTCACCGTTTCAGTTAGGTGTTTGTAATTGTAGTAATTGGGGAGAGAAGTTAGTTGAATTGGTGAAAAGTCTAAATATATTCTACGATTATTATTTGGTTGAAGCAGATACAGTATCTCAAAGCTGAATAATGTAGTGCTGGCTAGGAAAGGCCTGACTGAGACCTGCTCAGTTATGGTAATAACCATGAATGTTTTCATTCATTTATTCATTCAGCTAATATTTACTGAGCACCTGCTTTGTTCTGGGCAGTTTTAGATGCTGGGGACTCAACAGTCAAAGTCCCTGTTGTCATGTGGGAGGAAAACAGAGTAAACATGTATTGAGTGCTGTAGAGTGCGACAGGTCGAGGGATGCAAATGAACAAGAAGTGAAGCAGTGAGGTGTGCTGGAGTGCAGCGGTCATGTGACTGTGGTGGGTGGGGAGCCAGTTGTCTTCTTGTTGGAGGGAGGTTACAAATGAGCAAGGGGAGGCGGAGGGAACGATCCACATGGGGAGGGATCAGAGCCGGAGGCATCAGTGTGAACTCATGCTGAGCTTAGTATACATACAGGTGGCTGCATCTAGCAATGTTCTGGATATATGTGTAAACATGTGTTAGTGTACACACATCTATCTCCTGGCTCTGTCAGCTGAGAGGGTCCAGCAGCAATGACACTCCAGCAGCATTGAGCACACCCAGCACCCACATCTTGGCTTCTAATACCTTTCTCCAGTAAAGGAACCAGGGCTCCTTGGAGAAACAGCTGATTCCAGGCGCAGGGAACACACAGATGAGCCTGGAGCATCTTGTGGTTCCGGAAAGTAAGAAGGTACTCAAAAAGAAAGGGATGGAAGGAAATTTCTACACCTTCTTCTCAGTTTTGCCGTGAACCTACAACTGCTCTAAAAGATAAAGTCTATCAATAAAAGTTTTAGAAAGGAAAGTTACTATTTTAGATAGTTGAGCAGAAACCTGAATATAGTGGGGGAGCAAGCCAAGTTGGTATCAGAGCAGCAAAAGTCAGCACAGCTGGGGCCGAGTGATGTAGCAGGAAGGGTAGGGGTATCCTCAGAGAGGCAGCCAGGGCCAGCATTAGGGTGAGCACTTGCTTCTGAAATGCTTGGAAGTCTCAGCCTCCCAGCATTCTAAATCAGTCATGTTTACGAGGCAAATGTGACACTTAACTGATGAACTGCTTCTACTAGAAAGACCATTTGGGCAGCCCTACAGAAATAATCCAAACACTAGATGTCACATTTGCCTGGCAGACACAGCTCATCTTTGTGCATCTGCCCCTACAGTTGTCAGGAGCTTACAACCCACCCTCACTAGCTTCCACTTCCCTCATCTTTCACTTTTCCCCTAAATGGTACCGTTATCCTGACCTCACCCACTCGCTTATGTAAGCCAGAAATTTGAGAGTCCTCTAAATCAGTGCATCCCAAAATGTGGTGGGAGATCCATCAGTGTCCAAATTGCCAGGGCAGCTGGTTTAAAATTCAGGGTCCAGCATCTCTGAGTGTGGGCCCAGGAATTTACATTTTTAACAAGTGTCTCAGTTGCCAGGAAAACTTGAGAACCCCTGATGTAAATTACCTATTGTCCCTCACTTTCAAATTGGATGTATTACTGAGTCCTTTGTGTTCTAGCACCTAAATATCTCTTGAGTGTTTCTCTGTCTCTTGGTCTCCACTCTCACCGTCTTCTTTCCAGTGAGGCTGTCTCTCACTCAGATGTTTTCAGTAGTGTCTTGACTGATTTCCCTGTGTTCACGTTATCTCCTTCTCCAATCCATTTTTCATCTTATTCTGTATAAAAATAAATCTCACTGTACAATGCTTCTCCTTAAAATCCTCCAGTGGTGCCTCATATCTTAAAATAAATTCCAAACACAAAGGCCATGTCATTCCAAATGTGAAGCTCTGACGGCCTACCTCTTTCCCGTTCTTGGACCAGTTGACTTGTGTTTCTGGGCCTTCTTTCTGGACCAGCTGCCCTGCTCCTTCCCTACTAAGGCCTTGGCACATGCTTTTCCCTCTGCTTGGAATACTGAACCTTCCCACCCCTCAACCTTGGTGCCAGCTAACTCCTGCTTATTCTTCAGATGCCAGCTGATCCTAGTTGTAATAAGTTATGAATGTAATTATTTGTCTGATTTCTCCTTTCCAGCTAGCTTCTCATGTGCTGCCACATCCCCAAATTGTTCCCAGTGGGTGCTCAGTAAATATTATTTGAGTGAATGAATAAATGAATGCACAGTATTTTTTAAGGTTCTCCCTCTTCTCCATTTTCTGAATGTCTTTCTAACTTCTTGCCTATTGGAGGAAAGATGCTCGTGGAGAGCTGCCACATTCTAACCTAGAGATTAGTCTTCCTGCCTGCATTCTTGCTGTCGGCTCCCTGACCTCACGTGGTCAGCTGGTCAGTGGACACCACATGCCCTGTATGTAGAACAAACTTTTGTTAACGTAAAAAACATGAATACAGTAACACTGAGAAGAGAAGACAGTTGGTAACTAGTTGGCTGAAGTCTTCAGAAGAGACAAAAGGGAAAGAAGAAATGAGTAGTTCTTATCCTTAACGCAGCATCTGAATCACCTGTAGAGGTTTTGAAACTTCAAGTCTGGTGTGGAACAGAGCCAGTTTTGTGTGTTTAAGTGACTCAAAGGTTAAAAGGAAAAACATTGTTTCCTCTGCTCTACTTCTACTCACAGTACTTCTGACACCAGATGTCTAGGTTTTTCCCCACAGCAACCAATTATCCAACACCAGGTGGGTATCCTACAGTTTGTCCAGCTGTCCTACAATTAACTCAGTTCTGACACTGTCTACCTGGAGTTAGCATCAGATCCCGCAGGTTAAGGGCTCAGTCCCACAAGACTGCCTCCACTTCAGACGCCAGTTGTAAGTAGTAGGTCTCCAGGTTACCTACAACTTCTATCTGACTTGGCTTCAAAAGGGTGGTTCCCACCACCCCCTCCTCAGGTTAGATAATTTGTTATAGCAGCTTACAGAACTCAGAGAAACACTTACTTATGTTCACCAGTTTGTTATATAATAAAGCACATGGTAAAGGATACAGATAACAGCCAGATGAAGAGATATATAGGGTGAAGTCTGGAAGGGTCCTGAGTACAGGAGCTTCTGTCCTGTGAAGTTGGAGTGTGCTCTCCTCCCGCCTCATGGATGTGCTCACCAAACTGGAAGCTCACTGAACCCTGTACTTTAGGCGTTTTGATGGAGGCTTCATTGAGGAGGCATGATTGATTATTAACTCAGTCTCCAGCCCCTCTACTTCCTTGGAGGATGGTGGGTGGGGCTGGAACTTACAAGCTTCTGACGGTGGCTTGGTCTTTCTGGTGACCAGCCCCCATCCTGAAGCTATAGGAACCCACCCAGAGTTGCTTGTTAGAACTGTCGCTGCTATCACCCAGGAAATTCCGAGGGCTTTAGGAGTTCTGTGCCAGGAACCGAGATCAAAGACCAAATATTAGAACAAAAGATGCTCCTAGTGTTCTTATCACTTAGGAAATTACAGAGTTTTAGGCACTCTGTGTCAGGAACTGGTGGCAGAGACCAAATATCTATTTCCTATGTCACAAAGGTAAAACTCACCCTGCAGCTTCTGTCCTCTAGCCGCTTGTTCC